ATTAATGACAATTAATAATAAAAATTAAGACACTTCAAAGAGAAGATTGATCTTTCTAATAAAAAGCTTCGTAGTAGCTGGAACAAATGGATAGCTACACAACTGGAAATTTCCACTACTAAATATCTGAATTACGCATCTGTCAGGGTATTGGAAGACAATTACAGCATTTTTTTTCCTTGTCATCTAATTAATTCACTAATGGTTTTGTTTACAAAACAGGCTAGAGGCTATAATAAATTTGACTGCACTTCATAATCTGTGGCCAGATCTCTCTTAAAACAAGAATAAAAATGAAAAATGCCATACTGTCCATTTTAAAAGGTCTTGTATAGTCCCAGTAAAATGTGGCTGAAACTAAGGCTTAGTTTTTATGTGCATGTCTTTATTAATCTCCATATCATAAAGGAGTTTTAGTGGCCACCATCAAGCCAAAAGACTTTAAGCGGGTCTGTGTAGTATATGGCACCATAAAACACTTTCATTAATGGCTTGGATTATGAAATAAGAAGAATGTCATTAACTTTGCACCTATCAAGCCAGAGAGGGCTGGGAGCACTTTTGATAAGAGCAAGGGAGTTCAAACTGATTTTTACAAATTGAAGCAACGACTTGAAATAAAGGGGACTCTATTAGTAGTAGAGTCCTGAGCAGAGGAAGGTCCAGGCTGGACTAACGTGCCTGGTTGGGGCATCACTCCAAAGAGGTGAGAGCCAGTTGGAGACTAAGGAACAAGAAGGATTACAGGCCTAGAAAACATGAATTAAATGTAAAGCTCAAAAGAAGCACATTTATTCTTTTAAAGAGAAGAGTTCTTCAGGATCATGTGATAATGGTCTTCAAATACACACAACCCAGCCTCAAGGGTTGTATATATTTGTACTACAAGCCTACTACAAACTACAGCAGGGAGATGTTAAACAGTAGGGAAAACCTTCCAGGGAATCTCCTTCCCTAAAGGCTTCAATGACAAATTAGGGAAAACTGGTTAGAAGTTGGTGAGTATATTTGACTTTGCCATGATGATGATCTCTTTGGGTCTCTTCCAGTCTGAGGTTTAGTGACCATATGGTTGAAATATGTGCTCTAAGTGCCACCAACTTCTGCAAAACTGCTGAACATTAAAACGTATGATTAAATGTTTTGTCAAGTCAGGGCTAAAAGTTGAGACTGTCCTTAATCTGCTTATTGCCTGCTGCCTTCAGGATGTCCCGAGCCATATGTTACCCATAGGAGTGCAGAAGGCACAGCTCCCTCTGAGCTTGCAAAGGTGCAGGGATGGTGGGTAAGTCTACAGCTTTTTGCTGGTGCATCTGCATGGACAAGTGAACAAATATGTAGCTGAAAACAAGTCTCAATCAAGCTTTTGATGGGGTGTGGAGAAAATATGTTCTTTTTGCAATTTCATAACAACGGGAGTGATTTAAAATCTTCTTCCCCATCGCTGAGTGATTGTTGGAAGAGGTAACTCTGTAAATCAATGTAACAAAAGGCATGTGTTCAGGTGTGGACCTAACTTTTAGCCTATCCGTGCCGAGCCATCACCTACGTGAACTGATTTCACAGCAACATTGACTAATCCTGTACGTTCAGGCACTCCAATACATTTATTTCAGAGCTGTCTAAAATAATCTTGATTTAATTCCAAAATAACTGACCTAGGGCAGAGTATTAGAAACACAGGACTTAAAAGGAAATTAAAGAACAAAGACAAGAGCAATAAAGCTCAGGAGAGATGATTTCTGAAGGCTGAGGACACCTGACCTACATCCCTGTCCTCTGCAAAGCAGTGCTCTGCGGGACATGGACCTGAAATGATGTTCCCTATTCCAACATATTATTGAGGCACCTAGATCCCAACACAGAAGATGCTCAGCTGACACAGCACTGAGAAGCCAAGCTGCAAAAAAATAGTGGATGCATCTGTTAATCTGTGCTATTAAAAAACATGAAGTCCACTCCTACTGTTTTCTTTCTGCCCTGCTAAGGGAGGTGTCCCTCAGCTGGGCAAGATGTGTCCCAGAGCAGCTTGCACCTACTTGACAGCCCTCCGAAATGTGGGAGGGTTGTCCTAGGAATGTGGCACTGGCCAGCCCTGGGCAGGACTCTGGTCTCCCCAGTCCTCCTGTTTGCTTTTCAAACATTGATGATCACACAGGTCTTGCTGTAAGTGAACAAAAGCTTTTTATTTGCTCCTGTTCCAGTGGCAGAGCTGGTCCCCATCTGAAATAGCACAGTCACTACTCAGCTGTTTTCCCCCATGGAGAGTAGCCTGGATAAAAGCTGACTACATAGTCCATTGCGGATGAAGAAGGACAATGGCATCCATAAAGACAAGGCATGTTGCTAGACGTATCAGGTAGCCATAAAAAAACTGAGAAAACTATGTACAACACCAATGCAAATCTGTCAGAAACGTCTCTTGACATACCAAAAAAACCCCCACCCCTACCTAGAAAAGCAAGACAAAATAGATATTTCCACTTGTAATCACCATAGAAATGAAAACTATTTACATTTTGGGCTGTCTCACGTAAAAGTCATGTACTTGTGTACGAATGCATTGAAGAGGTGACCTCACCAACAGACAGCATTCACAGAGGAATCTGGAAAACCATCGTATATTGATACAAACCACAGCTGGAAATTAAAATGCAGATCAATGGGAGCGTTATTCCTTCTTGGCCAGCAAGACCCAAAGTAAGCCTGAGATATTCCAGTTTCCAACCAGACACCACAAGTTATTCTCCTGAACGATACAGAGATGTCCTGGGAGGGCCTGCTCACAGTGGCCAAGGTAAAGCTTTCTTGCAATGTACTTTATTTATCTGATCAATTTTACTTTCGGAAAAGACAAAAATGATAATGTTTTCCAGGAACAAATTTCAATGCTGCTGTGCACCAGCAGGCTACCATAACACACAGGGAACAAAAGATTTGATTCCTCCAATACATTTTGCATTAGTTCATTTTTTAGCCTTAAATTATAAAACGTGTGTTTCATGTAGAAGATAGAAGCAAGAGTTAGCAATTCTAGGCTCAATTTTGACAAAAAGAATATCTTCTTGTTTTAATAACAAAATTTCCCTTGGTGGTAAAGAAAAATAATAAAACCCGGAGTGTTAAGCTAAACTTTAAATGTCTTTTATCCTTCTGTGTGTAATTCAGTATTATGTAAGAACAGAAAATTACCTTAACCAGCATTTCCCTGCTTAAGAGAGCAGGGGCAGTGGGTTAAATCTACCCCTGAAGAAAACCCCTACAAGGTGATGGAAACATTCGTCCTGTCTGCAGCTATGTACGTGGCACCAAGGCTTCCTGGAGGCTTCTGAGATTTAGACATCTAAGAATTAAATGTCTTTACCTGACTACGATCTGATATGTTGAAGTGATAGAACATATCCACTCCTGCTCTTCCTCACAACTGGCCAAGTGCCATGCATCACTTAGATTTCAAGATGTCAATATCTTAACACTTCCAAATTAACTCTGTAAGCAGCCAGAGGACTGGCCCTTGGTCATCAATAACAGTCCAATTTGCTTTTGTATCTGTGCTGTTTGAGGGTCCTATAAGCAACACCTCATGAAGACAAATTCATGCATCTTCCCGGAAACACCTTGAGGTTTTGAAACATCTTGACAGCATGCTTCAAAAAAGCCTTAAATATGAAAATAAACCTCACAAGCTCCTTCACAAAACTCAAAACAAGCCCCAGACTGGTTGATCACCTCAGGTGGCGAAGCCAGTAGTGATGCTAATTTAGGAGACAACAGCTGTTGTCAACAAATGCTGTTGTCAACAGAAAGGGAAGGGCCTTCAAAAGGGAGGTTTAGTGCAACTCAAATTAAACTCCTGCTCTAAAGCATGTTCCACAGCAGATGACTATAGAAGGAGCGAGGCAAAGACAACCTTCCCAGGCTACGGCTGAGCTCTTATGACCCTTTTTCCAAAACAACAGTTGCTAATATCAAATAAATAAATAAATAATAATTCCAAACCCAAACCCCAGGAAGGAAGCAGCGTTCTCATGGACATACTCTCCTCCGCATGATTTTACATACATCCAAACAGGAAAAGTCAGATATAAACCACGCAGAAGAGCAAGTTGTACTTTTAACACAGAATTTACCCATTATGTCACAAATAATCACGAAAACACTTCATTTTGCTGGTTTTCCAGTTCCCAGCACTACGGGTGCGTTTGGCTCCCACAGGGCTATGAAGCAGGGATTTTCCCAAAGTTCTGTGATGGCAGCAGTAACTCTGTTCACTTCTCTGCCCCTAGCTTACAGGAGTTCCTAACATACTGTACTGGTGTTCAGCATCAGAAGCTCCTCCGTGGTCAGCACCGTGATGTAAACTAAGCTCTCTCTATTATAAGTTTTTGTATTTACGTGATATTATGAACGGGTCATGCAATGGCTGCTATTTCAGTCTCCTCCTGCTCAGGCTTTGTTTTAATAAAGACTGCAGAGCTCTAAATCCAAGCAGAGCAAAAAGTAAGCTCAGATTTTGTCCCTTCTTTAGGGTTGTCCTATTTCAGACATTCAATCTACAGCTTTCGTGCTAACCATGTAGCTCTATCTCTACACCAGAATTTGAAACTGCTTAGAAGAGACATCATACTGTTACTCCAGTTTGGCTAAGTAATATTTTAGGTTGCTCTTTCAATCTTAGGACTCAACAGCTGCACTACTCTTCAGATTGTTGTTGAAAGGCAATCAACGCCATAAACATAGGACTGCTTGGAGAGAGAAGATGTGTGCTCCTCTCTCAACCTCATACATAAATTCTTGGTTACTGCAAAGCATTTATTCATACTTTTTTACTTACTCAGAAATGTAATTCAGCTTTCTTCAACCATTAGAAAATATATAATCCAATCACATAATTTTCTTGCAGTTATTCAGGTATAATAACAAAGAAAAATTGCAAGACTCGTAGCACAGTACTTATTCTAGGACATAATGCAAACTTCAAAGAGGAAAACGTTACCTACCAGCTCAACTCGTCCAAACCCTCCGACTCCAAGGGTGTCAATGATGTTGAAGTCAGACAGTTTCAGGTTGGCAAAGAAGGCAGCTTCGGCTTCATATCTGGATTTTTTTATGCGAAAAAATGGAAATTTCTTAGAGGTGCAAACATGAGTACTGTGCAATACTGTACCCGAATGGCATGAGTGTGGAACAGCCTTTACCTGCTTAATTTCCATATTAGCTCTTACAGTTTGCTATTGTTCACACCAATTGTTTTGCTTGTCCCAATTACAGCATCGTTCCGATATGCCCGGTTTTCCAAGTGAGAAAAGCAAACATACCTACTGCATGCCTACAATGCAAATGTCTGGTACTGCAATTCATCTCCAGCTACCCAGTGAAGGCTACATTTTGACATTTTCTATTGATCTTCTTGTGGGTGAGGTTTTTTTTGGTGTCTTTAAGTACTTTTGGAAGACAAAGTCTCTCATAGGAGTTTCTCTTATCCACAGGCTGGCAGTAGTTTCTACAAATGTTTATTGAAAGTGGCAAGATCATTAAGGTCCCTGGAGAGAAATCACAGCCAGGTTTTATGAAATCAGATCCGATAAGCTGCAGGCTGGTGTGCGAATTCCTGAAATGAATGACTTCAGTCACACATCAACATTCGTATACGAATATCTTCACTTCTTTTCCTCGTATAAACTCACTTGGAGTAGACGTCCCAACCCAGGAGGTCCCAAAATCCAGATGCTGTCTCTTATGCCCATATCCAACTGGCTCACAACACAAGTTCACCAAGCCCTTGACTAAGGAAGCATGCAAATTGAACACATGCAAGCCTGCCAAAATAAGCTTCCCATGACTGTCCTCATGAATGTGATTCCTTTAAAATAGCTCCTTGTCAAGGTTTATGGTATTTTTAGAATGGCTCGGAGGGGAAATGGATGAACAGGATCCACCCACTCAATAAAGTTTGACATTCAGCTGTCGGTGAAGTCCCTGTGCATGTACAACCTTTGGCTGCTCACGACACAGACTTGTATGGGAAAAGACCATTGGCAGGGTTATGGAGAGAGGCATGGAGGGTGTAAGGGGGCAGCTGGCTTGTTTTTCAGTACTTAATTTAGCCATAATATCTTGCAATTAACAGATAGAACACAATTTGCTGTTTCACCTGGATGCTTCATTTGTGCATGGTAATGCTAGTGTAAAGATAAAACATCACAGTGTTAGCCACAATCATATATATGTATCCACCTGTCTATCTTTTTAATGTACCTTGTCCATGACACCTGTCTCTAATTCAATAATGGGATGGAATTGACTTACTGACTAATACTCTTCAAACCACCTTCTTTAGTTTATTTAAAACTGCAATGACATTGGGGGAGAAGAAGCAATAAAAACTAATTTTTAAGTTAAAAGGTAAAAATAAAAAGGAAGATGAAAGGTCACATCATCAAGCCCCAAATCCAATGTAATAAAGCACAATTTTATCTCAGGGATGCTGTCGAAAAATCACTTAAGCTCTGCTTTGTTATTTGTACTGTCACCAGACCCTCTCAGTGACCTTGTTCCTGTGGCCACAGCAGGCTAATGCATCAGATTTTGGAAACCAATCAGTGCTGAGCCTGCTTCAAACTTGGGATAACCTTGTGTGACACAGCTGCTTATCAATCACTTTATACTCATCATGAGGTGCATACTAAACCTGCCACTAAAAAACCTCTGCTAAAAGAAAGACATATGTATATGTTCCCTTCTAAATCACAGCAGACACATCATTTTAAGGGTGACAGAGCAATGAGATGAGTCTAATTTTCATGATAAAGGTATAGACAGCACATGAGTTATCTTCCACATTCCTGACCAGTTAAATACACTTAATGATTTATAATTGCTAGGAAGATGAAATCCAAGAATGGAAAATTTCCCTTCAACAGTCAAATAACAGATGCAAAACTTCGGGTCAACAAGCCTTGCATTACTTTTGCCCAAGGCTTGGGAGCCTGCCTTCTTGATGGAAGAAGGCAGGAAACAAAATGCAGAAGGAAGTCATCTCATGCTTCCAGGGAGGCAGGGGACCAGCTACCCCGTCTTCTCCCCTGGGCAACTAGTGAAGATTTCACAATGCTGAGCAAGCAGGAGATGAGAGATGCCAAACAGCAGTGTGTCAGAAGGGTTAGGGTCTCCAAAAATGTATGGGAGAGAGAGATGAAATTTTTTTTCCCTGTAATACCTCTTCTCCTGAAGGATGGCCAAGTTGTACAAAAATGGTGTATAGTTCACATCATGCAACATGAGAGGACAAAAAATGGGGAAGACACGGCATGGTGCTGGCAAGGCAAGCAGGATGCTAATCCCAGGCCCCGAAAATTCCACCAATTCTCCTGAAAATCCCTCAGTTCCATAGGAGATGGGATCCAATGCTGCAGTCCCAACTTCTTCATCATTTTGTGTGTCGGGTCACAGAAGCCAAAAGCTCTGCTGATGGCTTTTAAAGGAAAAAAATGTGGCTCATTTATTATTTTGCTTAAAAAAATGTACTTGCAGCATTATTGTGATTGTTTTTTTGAAATCTCTTGGCTAATTCTCTTTGACAGACTGCTTATGTGTAGTTAGCACATACCAGTGCAATGAAGCATATAAAACAAACTGGATGCAGTTTTCTACATACTGTGCAACAGGCATCCAAAACCCAAAACAGAATCCAAAATTATATAGTGAAACCAAAAGGTGTGTAAAATCAAGCAAGCAAGCCCTTCACATGCTTAGTAATGACAGTCACATCTGAATTCTGTTTTATTCCCAGCTACCAAGGCCAAAGTCCACTTACAAATCAAAATCCTATAAACTAACAGGAGTTACGCACTTCAGCCCTGCAAAGCTTAAGAATAAATTTCTTTAGTCACTTAAATACAAATTTTGAAATGCAAATAGTCCCAAGTCACCTACTAAATCAAAAATCGGGGTGTAATCCTCATCCTGAAATTTAGAATATGAATTCAGCTTCCTTAATTTGAGTGTGCTGCTCCTGAAACAGAAAATCCTAGGATTTTGCAGCGTGTGTTCTTCGCTTGACAAAACTATAGTATAAAACATATGTGATATCTTAATTTCATCACCTCCAAAAGAAAAGGAACTCGTTCAAGGTATGGGGAGGGCAGTACAAAGAAGTACAGAAGGAAGTTTAAAAATTAATATCGGTGGGTCTATAGGAAAATGTTCAGTTCTGGACCAGGTTGAAGAAATCTGCTATGCTCAGATACTGGGGACGATGCTTGCGATATTCCCTGGGAATGTAACAGAAACGGGATGAGTGGCAGAGACAGTTTGACCAAACTTGTGCAAGCTGACATGGAAATAACTCGGCACTCTATGGGAAAAATGTATGTGTGCCAGGTCAGGTTGTATTTCTTCTGGGTACCACTTTGCAGATGCCAAAGCTTCTTCCCATCCAGAAATAGCCAGTCTCATGAGAAAGGCAGTTATATTCTAAATATGCAGCTGTATGATGGTGCTCTGAGACTTTTCAAACAAGAAACTACTGAAACCTCACTGAAACGACTGGCTTTCCATAACAACCTCAACCTAATCAGTATTGGGGCCCTACTATGGAAGAGTTGGGGCTTGGGACCATCACTTCTTTCTCTCCTTCCAAATAAAATATATACTCTTAAGGAGCTGCTAATTAAAATGCCTTGATTCAGCTTCCTCCTCAGCACGGATAGGCATCACATGCAAGAAACCAGAGTTCTTAGGGAGATCAAGAGTAAATAACATCGCCCACATGTCCCGTTACTTTGAAAGAGCAGCGCAGGAGCCACAGCCCAACCATTTGGGCAATGCCTGTTATGCAGAATGGGAGAGGAAAACATGTGGCTTCTTGCACTGCTGAGGGTTTCCACCCATTTAAATGAGTGATTGTCTCCTAGGATGACAATTACTCCAAAAGACATTTCAAGATTTTCCTCCTAAAACTATAAAAAAAAAAAAAAAAAAGATAATCAACTTACCTAGGCAGCTAAAAAGGATAAAAGAGAAAATGTAAGGAGCAAAAGTTTGTAATTATCCAACTGCTCAGCTTTACTAAACTAGCTCACGACTTCTATCACATGAGCTAAATGTGTTGGGAAACATTAGACATCTGTTAGCAAACTGTCATCTTGATAGAAAACTTGGCTTCTTTCCACCCGCGTGCTGCCAGCTAGATGTAAACTGCAACCAAATGGCAACCAACCACCAACTCCCTGATAAGAGCGAACACAACCATTTTGGGTGGATAAAAACAGAATTTTGGAGCCTTCCTCAGTGACAGACACCTGCTTGTGTAACAGCTATTTTGTCGTCCATATATTCAGTTTTGTTGGCTGGCCTAGTCACTATATCACCCATCATAAAGGAAATGAACTTCTGCAGATAGAAATATTGCATCGTTGCAAAGGCTAGAATAACTTGAGTTGCAATACTTGGATGGCGATGGTCAAGCCCAGCCTGCAAGAAGATACATGTACAATGAGCCTAAGAGCCACAGGTGGGGTGGGGAAAAAAATACATCACAAAAGGAAACCCTATTTCTATGTCCACCAAACAAGAGAATTATCTCAGTCCATCTCCTAATGATTCTGCAAATAGAACTAGATTCTTACGATATGGCTAATTTCTTTTTAGCATGCTGCTTCAATAGATGTGGCACTTCACAAAAATGAAAGCAAAAATTGCCCCAAATCTTCAATTTTGTGACTATTTTTTCTATACACCTGAACACACACATTTTAGTGCTGGTGAAATAACCCACTTAGGTCTAGTCTACTCACGTCACCTGGCTGTTGTTTGCCTGCCTGGTACTCTGAAGTCACAGTAGGCTGGCTGGATTGGATTCATGCTATTGAGTTAAGAGAGATGCAATTCCAGACATGAATGAGGAGTGGCAGAGAACATGGATCGAATTCATGTAACGAGGAGGCTTGGTTATCTGAAAGCAATGTAAGGAAGAGCAGATGCAGCAAATGGTGGTAGGGCTCCCATGCCTTCCCTTCTGCACTGGCCAGTCCTCTTCCCCATCTGCTCAAATTACTCAGAAAAGCTCAGGTACACACATTTTTGAGTGATTTTGG